ATTAGATTGCTGATGTACAAAACCAGTCTTTCATAGCACTACAGCTTTTTTAATTAGTTCAGCTTCGTAGTACAAGGACTTGCACTTGTCTGCCTGCATACGAGATCCGCTCCACGTTTGCACGATGCCATTCATCCAAAATGAGTTTTTCTTTTGCGGCTTGAGTTTCCTCATTTTCCGATACTGCGTTCACCAAAGTGGCGTACGGAATCGCGCAGTCGATATGGTTCAGAAGGAACTGTTGTATGCGAACGCAAACCTGCGATTATGAGTCCCGCCCACAAAGGAGGCCAGAATCAGTCCTGAGTGCGGACTCGGGTACTTGGACCAAGCGTGCAAACACAGTTTTTATGGACCTGTGAACACCTTGATGTGTGGTATAATATCAGGTGTTCACAGCAGAGCCGGGTCTTGAGATGTTTCCTGAAGGATCTAAGGGAGTAATGAAGGCATGAATAAAACTCATTTGAAGTCAGACTTTGAACCATCAGCTTCCTCACCCAGGGAGAGAGAATCCAGGCTAATGATGTCCCAACCGCACGCACGCTCAGGTATAGAGACACAAGTCACGAAGACGCATCACACTTTCAATCCCTAACAAACAAAGGTCAAAGACGCACAATGTCACTAAGTGTGTGTGTGTGTGTGTGTGTGTGTGTGTGTGTGTGTAGTGTTAGTCGTGTCTTGGAGGATATTAACACAGGCAGAGCTTCTTCCAAAGCTCCTGTCCTCATTAGACTCATATTTATAACTTGCTCTACTTTTACACACACACACACACACACACACACACACACACACACACGATTCATTTAGAAATCATCACACACAGGAGGTGCCATAGAGGGGCTCAGGACCATGGCATTGCTGGGTCCTAACACACACACACACACACACACACACAGTATAAGTGATGGGGCGAGTCTAAAATTACCGTTGGCCATCAAACCATTATAGTAACTGTTACTCCACTTTCCTTCTTAGAGAGAGATAGAGAGAGAGTTAGAGAGAGGGGGAGAGAGAGAGAGAGAGAGAGAGAACAGTGACAGTATTTGTTGTGTAACTGAGTGTTTCGCAGTATTTGTTTGTGTGTGTGTGTTATGGAGTACTGAACAGTATTTGGACATGTTGTGTAAATGAATGTGAGTGCGTAACAGTGTTTGCTGTGTGAGTGAGTTAGTGCCAGTATTTGTTGTGCGAGTGTTTAACGGTGTGTGTTGTGTAACTGAATCTCAGCAGGACCTGACGGTGGGGTTGCAGCTGTGTGTGTGTGTGTGTGTATATATATATATATAAGAGAGAGTGTGCAAGAGTGTGTATGAGAGAGAAAGTGTGTGTGTGTGTGTGTGTGTAAGGGTGTGTGTGTGTGTATATAAGTGTGAGAGTGGGGGCGCGTGTGTGTGTGTGTGTGTGTGTGAGAGAGAGTGTGTGTGTGTGTGTGTGTGTGTGTGTGTGTGTGTGTGTAAGAGAGAAAGTGTGTGCGTGTGTGTGGGCTTCAGGCAGCTCACTGAAGAAACGCTTACAAGTGGGAGGATAAACTATTTCTGTATGCTGACCGGGAGGAGTGTGGGTCCGAACTCTCTCTCTCTCTCTCTCTCTCTCTCGTTGTGTGTGTGTGTGTGTGTGTGTGTGTAGTGAAAGTATACGAGATGAGAGAAATCCAGAGAGCATGAAGGCCAAAGAAGGACAGAGAGTCAAAGACCAGGAAGAAGTGAGGGAGGAAGGGACAAGAGGGAGTGAGAGAAAGAGAGCGAGAGAGGGAGTGAGAGAAAGAGAGAGAGGGAGGGAGGGAGAGAGAGAGCGAGAGAGAAAGAGAGGGGAGAGAAAGAGAGGGAGGGAGAGAGGGAGGGAGGGAGGGAGAGAGACATTACGACTAGAATGAAAAAAGATGACTCTCTCACTCACATTCTCCACTGTTGGGAATATCTTATTCCTTTTTTCCCGCCTTTCCCTCCATTTCTTTTCTTTCTTCTTCTATCTTTAATCCTTCTTTCCTTCTTGCCTCCTTTCTTTTTCCGTTACACCACTCTCTACTTTATTAAAAATCCACCCCCCATGTCCACATTTTTTTTTTTTTTGCTCTCTTTGCTCTTACACTTCATCCTCGTCAATTTTTAATCTTTCGTTCCATCCTCCTCTCTCTCTCTTTCCCCTCAATCACGAACATGAACACTTTCCGACGTGAAGCTTATGATAAAATTTTATTCAACATTTATCACCTTAAAAAGATTTAGCTTTCCTTCCTCTCTCGGACTCTCTGCGGTTTCCTTCCCCCAAAAAAAAAAAAAAAGCTAAAAACTTTACATATAGAGAAAAAAAAGTTGATAATTTTTTTCCCTGCTGCTCTGTTCGACCCTGACAGATGGTGAGTGAAGAAACAAAGAGAGAGAGAGAGAGAAGGCAGAATGAGAGAAAGAAAAAAGGATGAAGAGGTGGACGAGTTGGCAGCCGTACCACAGATTTTGAGCGGCGCCTCGAGCTCCAGCAGGATGGGCTGACTGAGGAAGATCTCTCTGGATTTAATGCACAGGCCGCGAACCTCGGCCTCCGTCATCTGGACGATCTTCCCCGGGCGGCATCCTCGCACTGAGAGAGAGACAGAGAGAGAGAGAGAGAGAGAGAGAGAGAGAGAGAGAGAGAGAGAGCAAAAATCCACACAGATCCATCATCATCATCATCATCATCATCATCACCACCGCTGTCATAGCCATTAACACAAAGCAGCGAGAAATTCTGGATTCTGATTGGTCAGAAGGTGTCGATTCATTTCCTGTAACAGGTTTATATTAACGCGCTCGCTTTAATACGTTACCGTTTCTATAGTAACAGCTCACTTCACAGGGACTGTTTTCTCCAGGGTATGGGGGCGTTTATTATTTTTTTTATTTAACATTTACGGAAGGAGTCTCCAGTGCCAGAGATAAAGCTGTAACTTTAAAGCTTTCTGACTTTTACAGGACAGACAACTTTACACTTTTTTTTTTTTTTTTTTGAGGTTTCTTGGTAACACGACATTTTTTCCCGACTGTTGATTGCTGCTATAATGTCAGCGAGAACTTGTTTCACAGACATTCATTTTATCCATGTAACTAATTTTATGGATTAGAAAAAAAAATGCATCAAGTTTTAAATCAATTTTAAAAAAAAAAAGTGGAATTGTTTACAAAGTGCTGTGGTGTACGAGGAAGAAAAAAAAAACACGTCGGGACATGCTGTTATAGGAAAATAATCAACTTCGTGGTGGGAACAGTGACCCTGCTTCACCACACCACCACGCTGTTGATTATTTTACTATAAAAACACAACCCGGAGGGTGTTATTCCCATTACTCAGAACACAACGAACACAGACAGTACTGGACAAAAGAGAGAAAAAGAGCAGGATTTCATTTTAAGACACGGTTAGCAGCAATAGTCCAGGATTTACTCCCACGATAGAGTACTTTGAGTACTTTAAGAACAACTCTAGTGTTTTTATTTATTATTATTATTATTTTTTCCTGTTATCATGAAGTGTGGTGTAATGAGAGACCTACAGTAAAGTGTGCAATAGAGGATCAGGGAAACACTGAGGAAACACCAAGTGCATTGTGTGGACAGTCTAAAACATATGACTAACACACACACACACACACACACACACACACACACACACACACTAACCCACAGTGCTGTTAGTAAACCATTAAACCTTCCTGCTTTTATACAACAGCGAGTTCACTTTACGTGCCGCGTTCAATCGCGATGCGATTTTGTGTTGCATCGAGTTTCACAGCAGCTTCAAATCACACAGAGAAATACAATAATGAAATTAGACGCCTCCTAGACAAAGCAATGAATATAAACTTTCAGAATAACAGCCGCGAAAACCCATACAATCAAAGTAAAACAATATTTTTGCTGAAATATGAATATTTCCGCATAGACATTAATCACAGTAAATACTAAAACCCGACACAGTGATCCAAACGGCGGAGGCAATTCACAAGCCGTATCCGGTCGATTACATTATCCAGCGTGTTAATTCCACTATTCTATCATTTATTTAGCCAGTTTAGCTAATTAGCAATAAAATATTAATCTCAGTGACATTTCAGAACGCGGTTGCTAAGCTAACCAAGGTTACTGTTTGTAAACATTAGCCGGCTAAGCAGGCTAGCGGAACTGACTAGCCGCTAGCACGACGCGCTTATCGCTTACAAACACGCTGCTGTTCGGCAGAAATCAGACAAGCAGAGAAGCATCAAGTGAACTGAGAGCGAAAAAAAACATTTTTTTTTTTTTAAACGATCAGCCAGCAGTACAAACATTACCTTCCAAGAGTCGAGAGATGAGGCTGTCTACGTTTAGTTCGCTCTCCGCCATCTTCTCAACTGAACTTTAGCGCTGCAATGCGACACTGACCGCTAGAGGGCGCTGATAGTGCAAAATTTATCTAGTTTTTTTTAACCTCAGTGTCCACTAGAGGGCGCTGATACCACAAGATTTATCCATTTTTGTTGGTTCAGTGACCACTAGAGGGCGCCGATAGTGCAATGTTTATCTAGTTTTTTTTGACAGTGACCACCAGAGGGCGCCGATAGTGCAATGTTTATCTATTTTTTTTTAATTCATTGAACGCTAGAGGGCGCTCATAGTGCAATAGATTCAAGTAGTTTTATTGGCATGGTAATAATCATCTATTCTTTTGCATTAAAGCAATAATACAATGTATATAATATAATATAATATAATCAGTGATGGACAAAGTACTGAGAAATACTTTTACTTAAGTAAAAGTATAAAAAGTGGAAGCGTCCTGCCAAAAATGTACTCAAGCGAAAGTAAAAAAGCTGCTATTTCTGAACGTACAAAAGTTGTTGTTTCTCTTTCAGCTGCTCCCGTTAAGGGTCGCCACAGCTGATCATTAGTCCATGTATTTGATTTTGACACAGTTTTTACGCCGGATGGCCTTCCTACCCTCCCCGCTTTTATCCGGGCTTGGGATTGGCACTGAGATCACACTGTGGCTGGGAATCGAACCCGGGCCGTAGTGCTGACAGCGCTGTGGCCTAACCATTAGTCCTCCAGGGACTACTGATGTAAAAATTAAATGTATTCAATGTATTTAAATTAAGTTAGTCACATTTTTATGTGAAAAGCAACTTTTATTTTACTTCTATTAAACCTGTTAGAAGTTTATTTTTGTTCTATAGCAACTACGTCGCTTTGCCTAAAAAACATCATTCAGTTTCTGTACATTTGCTATATATACCATTGGCTAGAATTTGACTTGCTGCCTTGCCAGTTATGTTAGCTACTGGAATTGATGTGAGTCAAACCTGGCGTTAGCAAAGAGAACAGGCTAACTTAGTTAAATACAGCTTGGTGTTAGGAAATTAGTGAAAATTGCTTCATCAAATTTGATGGAGTTCATGACTTCTAACGAACTGGCACAATTTCTGATATCTTTTTTTTTAAAATATCGATTCATTTCGTTGGACACCAAACTGAAATGATTTGCTGCTTAAACTGAGCCAGTGCTATTGATATACAGCATATAGTCATAAAAAAGAGAGCTGTGAAATTTGTAACGAATCCTTAGGAAATTTAAATAAAAAAAAAAATCAGGAGTAAAAAATAAGATTTCTTTTTGAAAATGTAATTAAGTAAGAGCACACGTTTAACTTCATGGTGTGTACGATAAGAAGTACAGCTACTCAAGTATTGTCCACACCTGAGTATAATATAATAATCTTGACTTTTAGTCAGCGGCTGCTAGACAGCACACGTAACATAACATTTATTTTCAGTCAGTGATCATTAATAAATAGTAAATTTTTAATGTACACTCACAGGAGAGGTGTGTGTTACAAAGCACTGCATTCATTTTCTAGAATTATATTTAATTAGAGTGACCTTCAACAACAGCATAGTAATGTCTATTCATTGTGTAATTTAACGTTATGTTAAAAGTAGAACATTATCGAATACTTTTAAGCTAAGCATTAATTGGTAAATGAGCTTAAATAGCTCTCTCCTCGATGAATTCATTGAAAAAATATTATAATATTTAACTGAAGCTCATGTTATATTATGAGACTACAAATATCATTCTTATGGCGTAGCAAGAAGAAGCAAAAGTAGAAGAACGAATAAATACTGCAAACTAAACAAAAGACCATATAAATAGATTTTCTTAGAAAGATTATATAAAATGTGAAATGGAGTATAGTAATTTAAGTTAGGATTTTGTAACACAAGAGCGAAAGAACAAAACAAATGCTTTGAAATAGTGGTGGAAAATGGAGAGAAAATTTATACCGAAAAATCTGTAATGTGTTTTGAATCTTAGTATTATTATTTTTGAATTTTTGTTTTTAATGATGAGATCTTTTCTGGGCAAAATTTCTGTCTGTGCAGTGTTTTATTTTTTTTTTTATTATTTTTCTCCTACATACTGTATGCTTTTTTGTATTTTAAAGAATGACATGTAATGCAAATTCTTTAAATTAATATTTGGGGACAAAAAAGCGATGTTAAGAATGTCAGTTACAGTTATTTGTAGTCTTAACCCATGAATGTATGGATTTAAAAAAAATGATATCCATTTCATAATGAAAGACACACTGCTGCTCTATCATTGTCCCTATAATTAATCATAATTCCTCCAAATTAATATTAATTTCCTTCAATTATCCGTCCAAGTGTATGTTAATCTTTTAACTGTTTATCTCAGAGTTCTTTAGAGAATTTACCGACACCTGCTGGTCAAAACGTGAAATTACAGCAGAGCTCACATCCCTGTTTTGGTCCTCTGAGGCTCATTTCTGCAGTCGACCGTCCATATTTTTCCTCTCTCCCAGTCTTTAACACACCTCAAACACACAGTTAAGATCAGAATACCTGGTACAGGTGTGTTAGGTGCTGGGAAAGAGAAAAAACTCAGAACCAGTGTGTGTTTTGAGGACTGGTTTGAGAAACTGATTTAGAGAAAGTGACCAAGGTGAAAATCATCACAACAAACACACAAAGAGAACTATGTTAGCTCACTTTAATTAACAACAAATCATTTTTAATTACATATATTTTATTTTATACATAATAACCCACATGGGTAGTGTTCATTTCTAGAATTGTATTTCTAGTAAACTGAAATTGTAATTATTAAAATTTGCTTTCGCAACCCTGTATCTTAACAGAGCTGAGTTTGTCGCTGCTCTTCTTGTTCCTCCGCTTGCCGCAGGATAGAGTGAGCCAGGCCAAGACTCCGCCCACCAGAACTCCAGCGATGGTCAACAGCGCAGTTACCCAGAATGCCACTGAGCCCTGGGGGCTGGTGAGAGATGAAGTAGGCACGGGCTCAACAGGCTCAGAGTTAAAACTGTTTACTCGGGTAAAGATGAAGGGATGATCCTAAGAGAGAGAGAGAGAGATAGCAACTGTGTATAATTTATTCTGCATTTTCGCATTTGATACACTTCTCATTTTTAATCCTACTGGGTTGCTATTTTTTCTATCTATCTATCTATCTATCTATCTATCTATCTATCTATCTATCTATTGTCATGTGACCTTCTTTCTGTGTGGTTTTCTGTCTGTCTGTCTCCATGTGTTTCCATCTGTGCATTTCTCTATCTTTGTGTCTATCTGCCTGTCTTTGTGTGTGTGTGTGTGTGTTTGTGTGTGTCTCACTGTTTGCCTGCCTCTTTGTGTCTCTCTGTCTGTCCGTGTGTTTGTCCATCTCTCTGTGGATCTGTTTGTCTGTCTCTCTGTGTATTCGTCTCTGTCTCTCTGTCTGTAGTGAATCTTAACAAAAGGTCTTGTGATCTAACCGTTAATATGTTTTTCATTCATCTGTTCTTTATGGGAAATTTAATCCTAGCTATTTCACTGCTTTCACAAACATTCTCTACAGTCACACCTTCTGTGCTTCCTGTAGCCTGTCTTCACACCACTCTGCTGCATCTTGTGCATAATTATTTAAACAAAATGCTGTTTTCTTGTGTGTGTGTGTGTGTGTGTGGGTGTGGGTGGGTGGGTGTTTACCTCTGAGGGACAGAGTATCTTGCTGCGGTCATGTGTGAAGTTGTTGTAGGTCTGTTTCCTGCCCACCGGCTCCAACTATGACATAAGACATTAAAGGTACAATCAGCAAAAATAATAATATGTAAAATGCTTTTTTAAAAAAATCAGTTTATAGGGAACAGTGACTGTATGCATGAGTGGACACCGTAACAGGGAGTTAAATGTAAATCCAAAATGTCTGAGGCCCTCTAGTGGCTGGCTGCAGAACAGGTTTTAACCCCGCCCATTCCCATGTTAGTGAATGGAGATTGAGCCAAACTTCCACTTTAGTTACATCTCCACAAATTATTTTCAGGAATAGTGTTCTGTTGAGTTGACCTTGATATTTCCCCCATTATGTTTCCTTTATGATAAATGTGTTTTATAGGATTTATTTGGTGCTAAGTAAGAGACTGTTGTTGATGAGGTGACGGCCTCGGAGCATCATGAACGCACATACATGAACCTGAATCTCTGGACAGTTCTGTAGAACGATCATGTGTCAGAGCTAGATGAAAAACATGGAGAAAAGCGATTTTTTCCCAAAAAAATAAGGTGTGCTGAATGTAAATGTTGACTGCTGTTTATATTTTCAGCAGGTACATTCGCTACTTACTGTATACTTACATTACTTTGATTAAAATGATGGATAATGCCAGCTCATTAGTGAAAGCTCATGACCCATAACTCTAAAATCTAAAATTCCTCACAACAGTAAAACCAATATACCTGCAGATATTATACGACTACAGTTTAGGATTTTATATATTAATAAACAAACGCCGTACTTGCGATTTTGAGTTAGCAGAAGCATGGAGACAAGCATGGAAACACACAAACATGATGTGAACATGACAATTCTAGACAAAGAGGGCTACAAACGTCAGAAATTAAATACTAGTGCTCCTTAGATTTGAACGTGACTCAGGTACACGTGATCTCATGTGATGTGCAGGGGCTGATGGGTAACATAGTCCAGCGCTGACATAATAGAAATTTTGTAATTGTCCTATCAGAAGCCCTTATTATGAAATACTGACAGAAAGGTTTGTGCTAAAATATTATTCCATGGAGTAAAGGCCATCTCAGCATGGCCACATTCTCAGAAGGGTGTATGTCAGTTTGCGTTTGTGTGTATTTGTGTATGTGTGAGTGTGTGTGTGTGCACTCACCATATTGTTCCACAGATTTAAGGCCATCTCTGCATGGCCACATTGTCAGAAGAATTTGTACGTGTTTGTGTAAATGTGTGTGTGTGCTAACCATATTGTTCCACAGTGCTATGGCCATCTCAGCATGTCCACGCTCAGTGAAGTGGAAACAGTCCACTGAGAAGAAGCTCAGGTCTGGTGTCCGGTCCTGCAGGAGACACACACTGATGTGAGTCCATCTTTGTGTGTGTGTGTGTGTGTGTCTGTTGTGTGTGTTGGTATTGAGAGTAAGGTAGCTTCATTCTTATTGGCTTCTTATAACATTTTTGTTAGTGTAGCACAGTGTAATAAATTATAGTACAGTATAGTGTAGTGAAGTATAGTATAGTATAATATAGTATACATGATACTAGATCTTCTTTAGGGGAATTCAAAGCATGTGGCACAAAGCTTTCCTCCCACCATTTACCATGTGCCAACACATGAGAATAAGTTTTTAATAAAGTATGTTTTAATCTGGATTTTAAAAAAAATCTATCATTCCTAATGTTCGTAGAGGTGATGTAGGACTGGCGGAGCTGTTGCTGATCCTCCAAAAGATCTACACCAGGCAAGAATTTGTCTTTCTAATCCAACTCTGTTTTCAAGCCTGTTCATTAAAATTTTTATGGCCAAGACTGACAAATCCTGCAATCGAGTCCAAACATAACCAATACAGGAACAGGCAAAAAGTAGGTCATTTACCACTTTAACCGGCGCTAATTCTGTAAGATGCATCCAGGAACTAAACTGAAATAAACCATTGCTTGCTATTACTATGTAAAGAAAGAGCAGCGTTGTTGGGCAACAACTGTTACCCAAAGCTTGAATAGAAAA